GGTCCACTAATTGAACACTAACAATAAAGCATTCATGACACACAATAAACGCCAGCACTAACTTTTCTATCACACTTCCATTAGCTGCTTTTCACGCTCGACATGTCTCAGAAACTGCTTGGCTTCAAAGAAGAAAAAAAAGGCGTTCATGATGTGTTGAATTTGAAATAAATAGAACAGTTTGTACAGCCCTTATATATGGGCTAACCGTCATTCGGTTTTATAAGAACTCGCACGAAATTTAGGTCGTGTTGATCGAGTATCTAAAGGTTTGTCCTGTAAGATGGCTAGTACCATGATGACGGAAGCTTTGAACATGGTAAACCATACAATCATTGTTAGTCCTGACAAAGAGCCTGTAATCTATAAGATATTAATCATTTTCCTCTTTGTGATTTTGAATGCCATTGTCCTAGTTGTCATCAGACACCAACACGAGCTCCAGGAGTACATGCGAATCCTCTACCAGAGTCTAGCTGTATCGGACATGGTTTTAGGTATCAGTTGGAACATGTGGGTTATTTTGTGGTTTCTCTGTGGAAAAGACCCAAAACGCCTGTGCCGCCATAAGTTTAGCGTTTCCCTTCGTGTATAATATCTCCATCATTTCCGTTATGGCTTTCCTCTGTGGAATATGTTACAATCTGTATCTCCTCGTCTCAAGACCGCTGCGCTATTATACGATTGTGTCCAAACTAGGTGTTATTACACTAACAGTAATTTGTTGTTGTTGATAATGCTCCTTTGTGGGTTTTATATACCGATTCTTTCTTCGGCCATGATGACACTTTTAATGCAAATTTGATATCTGTGTACCAATGTATATTCATGTATTATACTATTCTCATGTACAAATGTATTATATTTACACAGATTTATTACTTCTACTATATAATAATACGACCATATTATCATCTAAATGCTTCATAAACGTAACTAACGCCATACAATATAGACTTGTTTATGTTACGCCTGCATCCCTAAAATGATAAATTTATTTTAATAATATACACATCATTGGTTCTAATATCACTAATCGCATTCACTTCATCATCAAACAATCATGGGTTGCAGCACAATCATGTAATATATTAATGGAATAATAATAATCAATTTAACAGACAGAACCGAAAGAGATTTAATGTTTAATTTTCTTACCTGAAAAGAAATGAAGAGGCTGGTCTCAAAAATACAATCCATTTGATCATGTTATATTATATGGAAAAATGATAAATCCTTGAAACCTTGAATATGTGTTCACTGTGAAGCACCATGTGTAGAACTGGTGCTATCAGGCAGTAACCACTAACCAACGCCTTCGTTTTAGTTTCATTTTTGGAAGAGGGCACAATTTGAGTCACCTCTTCTATTATTTTAAACAAGAGTTCGGTTTCTGCACCATTGCAGCAAGCAGTGAAGAGTGTGCAAACTTTTTAAGATACTGGTGTGTAAAATATGTGACGATGATAACAAAATATACGTATACAAAATGGTGAGGGAGGTCTATTTTCTAAGGGCCTTATAATACAGAAAGAAGGTAGCCATCCTATTGTTCACGGGGGTATTGTCAATACTTTTATTTTGCTTACCAATTACATTTTGATTCACCTCGAATTCAGTCTGAATTTTTCATCAAAATCATCTATCGCACAGTTGAAAGAGCTTTTGTGCAAGAGAATAATTTCATTTTTTAAGGCAGAAAAATAAGAGAAACAGGATGGAGATAGAGGACTTTGAGGCTTCTACCTCGAGTCAAAAAAGTGCAATAAAGGTAAATGTCTAAGATTGAATACCTTCTTTACTTTTCTCCTTTCCAGATATGATTAGCATGTTTAGCGCCATCTCCGACATTCCAATTGTAATCTCGAAGAACGACCTTTCCACGAGACTTTGACTCCCCCTCCCCCCCCCCCCCCCCCCCCCCCCCCCCCCACTCCGGGGAGCGTTATTTTTTTTTCGGCGGCACAGATTGGGGTTAGGTGCGTGTTGAGCCTATGGGAAAGTTTAGGGTTAGGGTTAGGGTTAAATCAAGACCTCCCCCCCCCCCCCCAAAAAAAAAAAAAAAAAAAAAAAAAAAAAATCTGTGCCGCAGAAGAAAATGACGCCTCCGGGAACGGAGGGACCGCATTCATGTTCCCAAAATGTCCGGTAAAGGGGTACTTTTTACGCAGCAAAGTCCGGCTCGTAACACACACAAAATCGGCCCCTATTGACTTTACACACCTGACTTAATGTAGGGGGGTATTTTCAAAAGGAGGGAACATGCATACGCATACCCTAAATAACACTGGGGGGGGGGGGGGGGCTTTGGCTTTAGTAATTGGACTCTTATTTAGAAGTTTTTGAAGTGGGGGGGGGGGGGCTAACAGGAAGAGAATTCTAGTTTGACACGGGAATATGTTTGTTCTACAGACACCTGACAAAATGGGATCGAACTTTTATCGGGCAATCACATTTAGGACGATATAAACCTCAATCTGCTTGTTTGTCAAAGGTCGGTGGAAATTCCCAGTACCTAAAAATAGACTGCCACACCAAATACATACATGTATAGAAAACTATTTATGATCAGTGCACCACTACATCGTTAAAGCAAAGGGTATACATGTCTACTGGTTTGATATAACGCCTAGACCGACACGTATAGTGACGGAAAAAGAGGTGAGTGATTTCAAATGTTTCTGTCATTTTCATAATAAATGTAATGACATTTGTCAATACTTTCGTTTTACATGGATATATATATAATAAATTAGGCAGACTCCCAGACACTTCATATGTTTGTATCTGGTTTATAAAATCATAGTTTTCTTTAGACTGAAATAATAAGACTAAGTCTAGATCACTGAACCCTTCGCTACATGGTGTAGAAATCAGTGGTCTAGATGGCTTTGAGGTGATTAATGGAGAACAATCGAGCTAAGACCAATATAAGAATGGCGTTTGTTTAGAATCAGTTTGGTTAAGCATGAAGAAACGGGTTGCAAAAAGAAAACGAAACAAACCTTTGAATGGAGACCATCAAAGTTTAATGTCCCTGATCGCGTGAACCCGGAAGTAATATTTGCCGCATTAGAAACTTGTGATCACATTGATATCGTTTATACATGTAAGTATAACTTCTTAGTATTTGTTAGTCCTGGGGAAAAATGTGACGATTTTAGTATGTTGTGATTAGAATAACAAATGTGTTATAAACTATTATTATTACATGTTATGTACATATGAATACAAATGGGAATCATTTCCGCTTATGTGATTAAAATAGGCGTAGTAGTAGTAGTAGTAGTAGTAGAAGAAGTGGAATTATAGTAGAGTGGTTCATTCACTTTTTTGACTCTCAATCCAAGAGTTGAGGTTTCGTATCCCAGCCCGTCACTTACACCAATCTCTACTATGATATCGCAATAACTAAAGCCAATTTATTTTGAGGCTTTGTTTGTATCTGAATAATCTGGTTCATAAAATCATATTTTTCCTTCTGCTAAAATATCTTGGTCTCGGCCTAAATGTCTTTGAGATGATAAATGAAGAGCGATTGGGCTCAGGCCAAAAAACAAAACTTCGTACTGTTTATTAATCCTGTGGAAAAAACGACGATGTTGGGATATTACAGTGATTTAGATTAAAATTCCGTCATGAATTATTATTCTTAGATGTGATGTAGATATGAATGCACATTGTAAATATTTGAGGTTATAATGGGATTCTTAACACACAGCTAAAATATAATAGCTAGTGTTTCTGCAAACCACAACAATCTATATAATGTCCTTTCCATCATAACACGATGATATAATCAACAAATGGTATATTCTAGTGTGCATAATTACATGTATATAGTACTGATTGTGATACTTCATCAGATTAAAGAATTGATACGAAATGTTGCCTACTTTTAAGACACTGACAGTGCATTAAAGACAATATGTCCCTTTTACAGCCAATCTCAAATTCTGTAGAACTTTGCAGGAATTATGAATATGTCATGTTTGTCCTATCTGTGAAATTTAAACATTAGCAGTGTCCTAGTATTCAAATTATGCAAGGAAACCCGTTTACTTGCTAGATTTCACTGTCAGACACTATTGTCAGTATTGAGTGACTGACTGGCTTTTTCTTCTTCTTCGGTAATAAGATACATAAAATAAGCTGTAAAGGGTACATGAGCATTTGTCTACATCAATAACCCACTTCTTGTAATGGCCAAAATTAAACTGATTGAATCTTTGCGCTGCATAAAACGTAAGACCATGCGGTAGAATGGTCTGAAAATTAAGACTATTACTTATTGGCTCTATAGCTCCTAAGTCGATTTGACAACTAATAGTCGTTATTTTTCCACTTAAAGACATTTTCAAGCACCATTTTTTTTTAAGGGGAGTTCTAAATTAGTATTATCTTTCAAATGCCATTGGAATTAAACCTTTTCAATTTTTTTGGCCTGCAAAAGGGACATTTGTACCTTTAAAAGGACGTCACACGTAGCAGTCCACGTAAATCTAAAACTCCCTATTATGTCCTTTACATTTGTCACTCTCCACCAATCCTAGATGTATAGTGAATGGGTACCCGATAGAAAGAAATTCCGTGAATGCTTATGAACTCCTCATCTCGGGGTAATTATATAATTGCAGGACTCTAAAAGAGAACAATATTAAATTCTGATGAGGCTATCCAGGCAAACAATGCATTATTTTCATTATTATATTTTCATTATTATTATTATATTGTACATTGACTGAAGACCGACAAACGAAACATTTTTTTTTAATGATTTGGTATTCATTGCTACATTCAATTGATGAATAACATGTTTTGGTTTTTATCAAGATAAATTATAGCGGAATATCATATTTTGTGTGCATCATATTCTGTAGGGAAAAGGCGTGAGGAATATTACAAACATTCCTCTTTAATAAAATCAGATGAATCAACGCTACACTAACCATTATTTTTTTTCCTTTTCCTTTATTTCGTATTCCTGTAGAATTCGAATCATGGCTAAAGCATTAAAGAGTGTTATTGCTCAGAATCTGGAGTGTCCTGTATGTCTGAATACCTTCACCGATCCCAAGATCCTGTCTTGTTCACACACCTACTGCAAGACCTGTCTGGACAACCTCTTGGAATGCCATGGTAACGACCAGATGCTCCGATGCCCTGTCTGCAGAGCTGAAACCCAGGTCCCAAACCAAGATATCAGCAAATTACCGACAAATCTAGCTTTGAAGTCTCTCATAAAGGACGTGAAGAATCAATATCAGTTTTGCACGAATTGCGAATCCGACAACAAACGCCAAGATGTTGTCTACTGTCAAGACTGTATCAAATATTTCTGTGTCACCTGCCATAACAAACACTCTCAGCGTCCAGACTTCATCAGTCACGAGGTTGTAGCCATCAGTGAGATCCTATCAGGGAAGGTTTCAGTACGTAGGTACCGTAAATGCAGCAAACACCCTAAAGAGGATGAGAACTGCTTCTGTTCCGACTGCAGGAGATTTGCCTGCTTTAGGTGTGTTCTCATGGAGCATACAAACGAAAGACATCGGGTCATTGAGGCAGCTGTTTATAAAAACAGCCACATGAAGAGTATCGAGGAACTCAAATTAAAGGCGGCCAAGAAACGATCTTGCTTTCAGAAATACGTTGGTTTCATTGATGAACAGAGGGAGCGTGTGAGCAATGTTCAGAAGCAGTGTACATATGATATCAACAAAGCATATGAAGAATCAGTCCGGAACTTGACAGAGAAGAAAGAAATCCTCATTGGTGAAGTCAAGGGTATGACCGAAGGAGTAGAGAAAGAACTGGAAGAAATGAAGAAATCAGTTGTGGAGCACATCACTCACTTGACCACCGTAGATGATATGGTTACCAATAAGACAAAGATACCGTTAGATATGGATGCTTTGGCTGCACACGACACTCTATGTCAAGACTTACTAGAGGCTTTGAAACAAGAAGATCCTGACTACAAGCAGCCGAGACAATCGAGCAGGAAAGGAAAAAGTGTTTGTTTCAAGAGGAACGTTGGAATGGACGAGCTAGCTCTCGGCAATATCGTTAATGCAGGTGCAAAGAACATCGCTTTGCCCACTAAGAACAGCATGAATGACATGGTTGGTACACCTGATGGTAGAATGGCAGTGGGATGTCACACAGGTGGCGTAGAGATCTTCTATGCTGATGGTCAGCACCAGCAGACAGTTTTCAAGGATGTTAGGATTCGTAGCGTAGGGTTCCTCTCTGATGATCGGTATGTTGTACTTGATTTCTCAAACAATATCACATTGTACACACTAGAGTACACTAAGTTGAATGTAATGTTTAAGACTCTGAGTAACGTTGAAGGTGGAAAAGCTAAGCTCACTGTAGACGGTGATGATCAGATCTATGTTAGCTACAAGAAAGTCAAGAAGGTCAAGGTATTCTCAACAGCAGGTGGGAAGGCGATCAGGGAGATACCATGTGATGGGTATGAACCTGTGCAAATTACTAGTTATAATGATTACCTGATCACCGCATCCTTGAATACAATACGATTGATTGACAAACAAGGTGTTGTAAAATATAAATTAACGGGATTAGATGATTTCCCATGCGCTGCTGTGTCTCAAGGAAATACAATCCTGATAGCTGTCGTGCAGCACAATGTAGGTTTTGTCAGCATTAATGAGTACACTAACGAGCTGAAGCATATCCAGAACCTCGTCATTGATTACAAGATTGAGAAGACCAAGAGAAACTGGTACAATCTCCAGCAGTACCGATCAGGAGAGATCGCTTTCTGTACTCCTGATAGACTTTATATCTTCCCCTGAAAAGAAAGGATGAATCCTCCTTATTCGCATTGTATGATATCACTGTCTTCAGACTAGTAGAAGGGAGAGGGGGGGATGTGTGCGACCACACATTTTTTAAAGATAAAAACAGGCATGCTGACAAATTTAGAATAACAAAACATTTCGTTAAAAATTGAACCCATGCCCGCTCCCCCCCCCCTTTTTTCAAAAGCTTCGAACAGGCCTTGTGTTTCTTTGACTTCAGTATACATGACATCCAATGGAATCAGTTATAGTTAGAACTAAATGAATTGGAGTTAACGTTGTAGAATAATTTGAATGATTTAAATTTTCGAAAAAATATATTTCTGATGTGTTTGTCTTTTAAGATTTTGTTGTTGATGTAGACTCTACCTGTGAATCTGCCTTTTTGGTAGCTGCTGTAAATGTATAAATGATGTAGACACACTTTAATGGTGGTATTAAAGATTGTTTTACAGTCGGAAATAACAATTCTAGTAATGGACTCTATATTTACTGCTGTTTGATACAATTTTCTTATTTTCTTCATTTAGTACAATGCATTTTAGATCACTTTCCCATTAATCATAATAGATTTTATTTTTAACCCAGAACCATGAGAGGACATTATTCTTTTTCAAAATAACTTCTTCTTCTTACAATTTGTTGAATTGCGTTATAAAAAGGTAAGAGTTCTAAAAGTCGACCTTTTGTTATTTTGATATATGTTGTAAAAGTATTGTCGAATCAAATTTTAAATTAAGTGTTTATATTTAAATTTGATGGACTCAGATATCTTGTTTTCTGTTTTCAATGTTTACTTTCCGGCTGGCAAAGTACATGAAAGAAATGGCATGGAACTTGTCGGAAGTACCCAATTTTTTTTCTGTCCTTAATATATTGTTAATAAATATTTGTGTCCTACCTATACAAACTCATTACAAAAATATTATTTATTTCAAAAGAGTTATCGCTAATTGCAATGAAAGCAGACACATGAGGGAAATGGGTCTTATAAGTTTAAGAAAAATCTGAAAAGTTGTGATTTTACAGATACTCTCTGTTGACTTTAAAGATTTAATAAACATCAACCCGCAATTTTCTTTGTCGTAACTGCATGTGGCCGAAATATACTTTTTTTTTTTATCGTGTCTCATGTGTGTAAAACAAATACACTATCATCAAAACTTATTTTGAAAAAAATTAAGCTATTTATTTTAACATTTTACATACAAATGAACCACCAAAATGGAAAAGTGATCTATGGGGGATTTTAAAACTTCTCAATTGCATTAATTTTTTCTGTTTGTCAAGATTTTTCACAAGTTTTTGTCTCTTTCACATTATGTGTTTCTTTGAACTTGCTCATGCCATTGCTCAAACCTAATCTAATAGAATTTGAATTATAAAAGTTGCTATAACATGCATGACGATATACATGTACATGTGTTTTATTCTTAACTTTAAGCATCTCAAGAATTTGGGGGAAACTGAAATTGCTATACACAAAGATAATTATGCAGTGATGATTGTTGTATTTTATCATTTTGTTATTATCAAGCAATGACATCGGTAACTGGCGTTTTTTTTAAAATTGTCAATAACAAAACTCCAGTTCCTCCCTTCCGTTATAAAGAGTGGCCCTGCATGGAGGACCTATGTTTCAATGTTGTCTGTTGATTATTTTACCCCCATAATGAAACCGTGACACTGCAGTCACAACACAAAACCGACTCCAAAACAACCTCACAGACGTTTAAAATCGACCATTTATATACATTCTGTATATAAAAGCCATGTTTTTTCGGTTTCCTTTTGGTCTGGGCATCGTATAAGAAGACCATAACAAGTACAAATTTACCGACATCTCCATGAAACGCGTATTAATTATAATATCCGCGAAGTCGATGAACTTGTACTTGTGACTGTTTCGTTAAAAGCTGGCCCGGTGTTTTGTTTCATCTGAGCAAGGAGGAGGGTTCTGTGTGCCGACGGCAATAGCTTCGATTTTCCGTCACTTTTTGGTATTTTATCAACACCAACCGAAGAAATCTATTAAAGAAAGATATTTCAGAGGGCTTATAACCAACTCGGCTTAAAAAAAGATATTGGTAAACCAAGATTTCAAACTAAATAATCAAACAAACATAAAAAGTAAATAAAACAAAAAAAACTTAAAGTTAATCTTGCAAAATACTCAAACTAAGTTTAACTTTATTTTTAATTTCATTGATCTGTAATATTAATATCATACACTGTGTATTTGTTTGTGGTAGGAATGTTGTGTTTTAATATGTAATTGTAATTAGGTACATACATTAATTGTTAATAATATCCGCTTTATTTCGTCCACTTATAAGGTTCATTTCCTTTCTGGCTGCTAAATTATTTTCTAGTAACAATGTATAATTCAAGGTACCTGTCTCTGGCTTGAATATCAACTTCCAGATTTATAGTCACACTGTATTAGAATGCCAATCTTATCATTTTATTGTCACATATATTACCTTCTATACAGCTTGGTCAGACGCAAGCTATCATGTCATTTTTGCAGTAACGTTTCCAACCTCCTTGCTCTATATTTATTTTTCCTTTCGTCGTCTATATACACCTGTTTTTATTGAATATATATTTTTGTTGATATTACAAATAGTGAAAGAATGAAAGCAAATAAATGTTATTTTCAACTGGATTTAGTTGTTTTGAAGTTTTTTTAATGTTTTTGTATCAAGACATACAAAATAAGATGTGAAAAAATGAACAGAATTCTAGGCTGTTTGAATATAACACAACTGCCAGAATAAGGTTGCGGTTGTCCGGCGTGCCCGAAAAGGTTATGGGGGAGGGGGGGGGGGGCTGCAACCCTTAGCCCTCTGTCCTGTATGCCTATGAAATTGTTGGAAACGTTTGCTTGGATTTTTCTCATAAAAGCAGTTGACGACAACACAAAGCGTTGAGTGCAGGGGTCACGGGCACAGAACTGTAAAATACGTAGAACACTCATCCCAATTCACAATGCACAGATCGAAGGGTGGCCGTTGAACGTGCTAGAATATTTTTTTCTCTCTCTTATCTTCAAGCGAGGTTTTTATTTCCATAATAGTAATACATTTGTACATTAATAACTCAATAATTGAGTGGAACATAACATAGGCTAAAGATTAAAGTACATTCAACAATTCTTCCAGCTTAGTATTATTTTCTTTGCTAACACATTCATATCTTAAAAATAATCTTAGCAACGACTTGAATGAAAAAAAACAAAGTATGTGGGTAGTAAACAGAACCATTAACAATCTTCTTAACATAACATTTATGAATTGCATATTGCGTATAATAATAATATTCAGAAGTGAATATTTCTTGTTTCCAATATCCTTACCTACAACTATTATCTTCTGGTCTATTTATATTTCTATTTGGAATAGATTAAATATCAAATTACATATTATTTTCCAAAACAAAGTCACATCCTTGCAATATAACATAAAATGAAAAGTTGAGTCAACTTGTCCACAAGAGTTGCATAAATTATTATTAATAATTTGCCATTTATATAAGTTTTCTTTTGAGGCAATAAACCTATGAATCATCTTGAAATTAAATTGTTCAACTTTATTATTACGAATTTGCTTTAATTTAAATAAAAATACATCCTTCCAAACAAAGTCATTATCCAAATCTAAAAAGAAATTCCAAAAGTAAATGATATTTGGTTCCTTTGACTTTTTACTTACCAACAAACGATAGTAATCCTTCACTTTCATAACAAAAACATGCACTTTATCCCCCTGTTTCTATTTCTATCATATTCGAAATATCACATTCTTGTTCAAATTCATATCTTAATCTATCCAACCAACACTGTGGAAATGCTTTCTTTAATTTTGAATATTTAAAATAAAAAAAGAGCTGGTGTGCTTTTACCTTTGTATTGAATATTGTAGAATCATTCCAAATACCATTTGTAATCAAATTGTGAATTTTCAATAAACCGGCCTCTTGCCATTCTCGATAAAACAGTATTTTTTTCTTAAAGGTAATGTTACTATTTTTCCAAATAATTTCATTCGGAATATTTCTTACTTTAAACATATCAATGAACGTGCTAGAAGATACGCTCGAGTGCACACGCCGCCATTTTGCTTAGTCCTCGATCTTGTTAGCTCACAAATTTCAAGAATTCCAGCCATTCCTGTCGTTGAGAAAAGAAGGCGAACACAACAAGAGGACTAACGAAGATGGCGGATATCACGTGATCACGTACGAGCGCTGGCCACATTTTTCGAACCACTATGAGCCTTCTACGTATATTTACAGTTCAGTGGTCAAGGGCCACTGGCTTCATCGGCTGTTAGTTCCATTAATATTTGAATGAGTAAATTTCGACAAAAATATACGACCAATCAAAACAAGTTTAATACCAGAATAAAGCTAACGATTAGTATATTCATTAGCCGCTCACCCCGAATCCGTCTGACCACAATGAAAACGAGTGAGGACTTGCCAGAGTGGCCGAAGTGCAGTCAAAACTCGCTATTTTGCTCATCTGCAACGTAAAAAGAGACGACATTGTGCTGGATTACTATTTTTCCTATTTTTTTTTTTACTATTTTTCCTATCATTTGTCAATATTATACTTGTTTAAAGGTTACCCAAGTGACTCCCGGGCACCCTAATGCTGGAGAGAAACTCACTTTTTTTTTAAACTTCACTTTTTCATCCAAAAATGCTCATTAACGCAAGTCAGATAGAGCGGATGATACAGTGTTTCCATAAATCGTCCCTGAACAACCCAAAATTGTAATGAATCGAACAACGTCTTAGCTCTCTCAACCAGATGATGGTTAGTGCAGTAAAGGAAAAGGTTTAAGATTGAATATCTTCTTTACTTTTCTCCTGTGTATAGCATATTTAGCGCCATCTCCACCATTCCAATTGTAATCTTATAGGAGGATCGTTCAACGAGACTTTACCAAGATAATTTGACTCTATGTTAGTCCAATTGCGACGTTTGT